TGGGGTGGGAGCCACTCCGGAGGGGTGGGGGCCACCACGATGGGGATGGAGGCACCAGGGCTGGGTTGGGGCCACCACGATGGGGATGGAGCCAATCCAGAAGGGTTGGGGCCACTACGATGGGGACGGAGCCAATCCAGAAGGGTTGGGGCCACCACGATGGGGATGGAGGCACCAGGGCTGGGTTGGGGCCAACACGAAGAGCCACCCCAGAAGGGTTGGGGCCATCACGATGGGGTTGGAGCCACCAGGGCCGGGTTGGGACCACCACGATGGGGATGGAGCCACCAGGGCTGGATTGGGGCCACCACGATGGGGACAGAGCCACCCCAGAAGGGTTAGGTGGCCCGTGCCGGGTGCCACAGGCCTCGCAGACGCCGTCCACGCTGAACCCGGTGCTGCCGGCGGCCGAGCGCACGGTGGCCTGGGTGTCCAACATGCCCCACCTGTCGGCCGACATCGAGAGCTCGCACATCGAGCGCGAGGAGTACAAGCTCAAGGAGTACTCCAAGTCCATGGACGAGAGCCGGCTGGACCGGGTAAGGGGCTGCCCGCCCGGCGGCACCGGGCGCCGTGGGCCAAGGGAACCCAAGTGGCCATGGTCCAAGAGATCCAGGTGGCCATGGCCCAGGAGATCCGGGTGGCCATGGTCAAGGGAACCCGAGTGTCCACGGCCCAAGAGATCCAGGTGGCCACAAGTGGCCATGGTCCAAGAGATCCAGGTGGCCGTGGCCCAAGAGAACCAGGTGGCCATGGTCAAGGGAACCCAAGTGTCCATGGCCCAGTGGACCCAAGTGGCCATAGTTCAAGAGTCCCCAGGTGTCCATGGTCAAGGAAACCCAAGTGTCCATGATCCAAGAGACCCAAGTGTCCGTGGTCCAAGGGACCCAAGTGGCCATGGTTCAAGAGATCCAGGTGTCCATAGTCCAAGAGATCCAGGTGCCATGGTCAAGGAAACCCAAGTGCCCATGGTCCAAGGGACCCAAGTGGCCTTGGTCAAGGGGACCCAAGTGTCCATGGTCCAAGAGATCCAGGTGTCCACGGCCCAGGAGATCCAGGTGGCCATGGTCCAAGAGACCCAAATGTCCATGGTCCAATGGACCCAAGTGGCCATAGTCCAAGAGTCCCCAAGTGTCCATGGTCAAGGAAACCCAAGTGTCCATGATCCAAGAGACCCAAATGTCTATGGTCCAAGGGACCCAAGTGGCCATAGTCTAAGCATCCCAAGTGGCCATGGTCCAAGAGGTCCAAGTGTCCATAATCCAAGGGACCCAGGTGTCCATAGACCAAGGGACCGAAGCTGCCATAGTCCAAGGGTCAGAAGTGTCCATACTCCAAGAGGCCCAAGTGTCCATGGTCAAGGGAACCCAAGTGACCGTGGTCCAAGGGACCCAAGTGGCCATGGTCCAAGAGATCCAGTTGGCCGTGGCCCAAGAGAACCAGGTGGCCATGGTCAAGGGAACCCAAGTGTCCGTGGTCCAATGGACCCAAGTGTCCATAGTCCAAGAGGCCCAAGTGTCCATGGTCAAGGGAACCCAAGTGTCCGTGGTCTAATGGACCCAATTGGCCATGGTCCAAGAGGCCCAAGTGTCCATGGTCAAGGGAACCCAAGTGTCCATGGTCCAAGAGATTCAGGCTGCCATGGCCCAAGTGACCCAGTGTCCAGGCTCCAAGAGACTCAAGTATCCTTGGTCTGAAGGACCCAGATGGCCGTGGTCCACGTGACCCAAGTGCCCTTGGCCCAAGTGACCCAGATGTCCCTGGCCCAGGAACCCCGAGTGTCCCTGCTCCAAGAGACCCAAGTGTCCTCGGTGCAGGAACCCCAAGTGTCCCTGGCCCAGGAACCCCAAGTGTCCATGGTCCAAGAGACCCAAGTGTCCACAGCCCAAGATCCCCAAGTGTCCCTGCCCCAGGAACCCCAAGTTTCCATGGTCCAAGAGACCCAAGTGTCCATGGTCCAGGTTCCCCAAGTGTCCCTGGCCCAAGAACCTCAAATTTCCATGGTCCAAGAGACCCAAGTGTCCACAGCCCAAGATCCCCAAGTGTCCCTGCCCCAGGAACCCCAAGTTTCCATGGTCCAAGAGAC